AAGACGTTTTTTAGCTGGATGCAAGCGCAAACCTGCTGCCTACAACTTGCCCTAACCTCATCTCTCTCCGTTTATGTCAGAGCTTTTCTTCCCCTTCAGCGTGCATTTGATTTCACGTCTTCATTGCTATGGCTGCTGGGATCTAAGATCTATCCTCAAAAACGCCCTAAAGCTGGTGGATCCAGTGTTTGCGCACTAGAGGATGTTAACATTTGTATTCATCGACCCCACAATTTTGTTTCGATCCGAAAAAAATGTCGGATCGAAACGTCGATTACCGTTCTCGTGATCACCTTTTCATTGCGCGCTTTTCCCTTTCTTCTCCGTCAAAATATGAGCCTCCTTAGTTGTCAGTCTCGCTGCGGCACCCGGCCCTCGAGATCTGAACCCGGTTCCACCCCGGGTTCTCCAGTCTTTTTGCGATTTGAAAATATACCCTTTCCAGACTAATTCAACGAGGAAATGAAAGCGTATTGATGATGGAATGTGGCAGGGAAATCTTGCCTGATCAGGCACAAGCCTTACCCAAAATGTTAAAGATGAACGTTCCAATTGTGCCTCTTATTGCTCAAACAAAGTGAGTCTGCAGTCAGTGAACGCGAAGATATGACCTTCCAGCACTCGTGACAGCCGGTCTGGCCGGGCCGGGCCTGGTCAAGTGACGGCCTGTCTGACCGGGTCGGACCGGGCCTGATCAAGTGACGGCTGGTCTGACCGGGTCGGGCCTGGCCTGATAAAGTGAAGGCCGGTCTAACCAGGCCGGGCCTGGCCTGATCAAGTTGATCAGTCTCATAGCTTAAGTAAGACACATTCAGCTTACGGCCCCTTTTGAGAGGATTGGGTGCAAATCACCTTGACTTGATATCGGTCGAATTTGGGGCGCTGCCACTATTTCGTTATATGACCATCTCGGTTAGTGTAAAGCAGCGATTCTGATTTTAACGATTACCTCGTTAATCTACATCAACGATTGATTTCGAACTTTCCTTTTCGAAGACTTTTGGGCAGCGTGCTTGCCGTAACCTAAAATCCAATAAATAGGATAAAATGAAATAAATTAAACCTTTTCGTCAATGCATATAGATATCTAACAAGTTAACTCGATAAAATCCTCGGTTTAGAACCAGTGACTCTACAACATGAATGCCGATGGATGCGGTGGCAGCCATGTCTCGTAGGCTCGTTGCCTCCCCCCCAACCCCAACGTTATTCAGTCTCACTCCTTTAACTAACTACTTTGATACATCAGTCGATCCGTCGAATAGACAATGAACCTTCCGAAGTGCTTCGAAGGCTTTATTTATGTCAAGAACTGTCGCTGTCGGATGCGGCGTGCTCGGTAGATTCCCGCCCCATCTTTGGCCGGCATCTTGCGGTGTTAGGTCAAGATAACTGAATGAACGTAATAGCAATCATGCATTGGAACATGTCCAGGGCTGCAGCCGGCGTGTGGATGACGCACATTTATCTAATTTTCAACATGGCCTCTACCAAGTCTAGTGCGTGAATGTGTGAAGATCTCCGGGATCTTGATTTTCATTTGGCGAGGATTAAGCGCATGTGAGTTCATCTGTATTCACTTGTCAAACTACTGCGGCTGGCACAATATTAAGAAAAAATGGTAGAGATGAAAGAAAACAGCCAGTGCACGCACAACATGTGACTACGTTATAACGGTTTTGTTGCGTGCACAACGGTTGCGTCTGCGTGCTACGTAGATGGCATCCGAGCGGGGACGATGGATGGTGCAGCGACAAGGACTACCGACAAGTGGCGTCGCCTCGCTGCGCGGCCGTTAGTGTAGTTAAGCAAACCCTTTTGCTTCGGGGTCAGATGACGTGGCGAGTGGCGCGAGGTTTGACGTGCGCCGCTGGAAGCCGCCTGTTTTCTCACCGGTGATAGTAGGAACAACTTTGGTAAAAGAGCTGTATTTACTTAGTGTATTATCTTATATGTGTACTTACTTACGTCGCGATGCATTATGATAATTTATTATTCGACGTGCTAATTCAGTACCAGTGATATATAACGATAACTTTGCTGTCACTTCTAGATGCGCTGCACTCTGACTCCGTATCTCAGCATGCTTACTTCACTGAATGACAAGGTTGTGTTAGTTTCAGAAAAAACAACAAAAAGTAAGTCTGTAAGAAAACGTACAAATGTCTCAAAGTCATTTTTCGTCAGCCGGCGACAAGTTTGATGGCGTGAGAAAACATTAAAACGCGCCCGGGTGGCCAGATGACCGGTTGATCGTTCGCGCCCCGGGTGGCCCTTCGTTCAGTTGGGGGGGGGGGGGGGATGGTCAATTTGACCCCTGAGATAAAAAAGATAAGATAGCTGGAGACACCTAGTTTTCAGGGTAGGCTGACCTGTACGTCAAATCACTTGCACCAGAGTTTGGTATTCCTAACTCATGACCTTAATGTCATAAAAGGTCAAATAAGGTCAAACTCCAGATAGGTGTCTCAGGTGCTCTTTAGCCCCCGTGTGCAACCGTCGTGAGGCTAGGTACCTGTTCTAAGCCAAAGGGTCCGTGGTGTCCAACTAAGGTCAATTACCTTATTTCACCTTTATAAAGTCAAGGTGACCAAATACCTACGAGATTGCTCCTATTTTGCCCTGCAGAAAAGCGTCAGGGATTATGCTAGGCGGTATGTTCGTGCAAACAAGATGTTGACCGAGGTCGCTTTAGCTCAGTGACCTACTCTGACCTTTAAAAAGTCCATGGAACGTGTCTGTTGCGGTTTCTGCCCTTAATAAATACGAAATGAACACAAGAAGAATCTCACAAACCAAGCTCTCGAGCAAAGAGGCAGACTAGTTTTGACCTCCGTATGAGCTTTACACGTGACCTTAGGTCAATAAAATAGGCTGTTATTCTAAATTCAATTGGTTTATTGCCTAAGAAACTATCTCAAATGCATATGGCTTCGTCTGACACTCTGCTGTCGAAATCGTAGCACTCTGTTGAACGATTTCGCTGAAATGGCCGTCGCCGACAGCCATGGCCTGACTTCGACCTGCCTTAGGTAGGTCAAATAGGTTGCCAGCATTACAAGGCACATTTAATTTGTTCACATCAAACGATCCGCTGTTCAATTCTCTACAGCCATGCAGAGTTTGGCAATGTCCGAGGGGATCAATTTGACCCCTCAGCCGAGCGCGTATTTACGGTTGTAAAACCGGCTAAACTCTCGCGGTCGCGTACAGTCTTTTTAAGATTTGTATCACATAACCTCTCACCGCCATTTAACCTGCAGGGCGAGAATCTCATGTCTATATGCTGCTCCATCTTTACTACATGTTGCAGATAAATAAACATAAAAAGCAAAGCCGGGCGCTTAAGGATGGGTAGCTTAACGATTGGTATCAATTCGCACACTGGATTAAGTCATTGAATCGTGCGTATCTCCTCAAAGGTGTATGTCACCTCCGCTATGCTAGGTGTCAAGTGCAAATACGCATGCCATCCCTGCCATGGAGCTGAACCACAACCAGATCAAACGAGGCGTTCCTTTTATTTCTCGTCACGTACGCCAACCAGTCTCGTGCTGTTCAAAGCGTTGGTAATCTTGAATACGCCGCGCTAGCATGGTTCGAAAACAAAGACGCGCTTTGAAAATCATCCCACTTTGAGAACCTTGCAGCAATATGCTTTCCCAAACGTGCGACACGGCATGTACTGATGCGCCAGCCCTAACGTTCAGCTGTAATATTTATTGGTTAACGTAGGGCGAGCTTAGACATTCATTTGAACTTAGCAGTATATAGTTGATTTAGCACAATTTTGTAACGGTTGATGCACATAGTCAGCGACGATGTCTTCAGATTTGGAATAGATATCCAACATAGTCGCCTGAAAATTAGAGCCATGGCAATGCTATTTTAGACAATTGAGAAATGCCTTGAAAACTAATTGCCAGAATTACTGCCCCCATTTTCGCAATGTCATTCATTCCAGTTTTAACACCGTGTTTAGCATTATGTCCATGTCATTCAAGCCAATTCAAACCAATGCCAGTATGCAACCGCATAGTCAAAAGACATCCATTCAACTGTGCGCCAGATCCCATGAACACACAACGATTTAGATCTTACTAGACCTTGCGAAACACATTTATGCTGGCCATTTTTCCAGAACGGATATGCACGTAGGGGTGCTCGCACATAAGGGCTCCTGCAGCCACGAGCCCCCTCACCCAATTTGTGACGTGTACTATCCTGTACGTAACCAAATGTTGACATCTCAAAGTTCCAGGTGAAGCGTACAAACTGGAGGATCAGGACCGCGCGATGCAGTTTTGGGACACGCATGAAATAAGCGCGACTGCTGCGCGGTATAGTCCGTTTAAAAAAAAACCTTTTTGACCTGTCCCCCCATATTGTGAAGTCCCGCGTGCGCCACTGTACTCACGGATCTGAGTTCACAATAGGCATAGTTTGAGCTTCAGGTATTTCCAGGACAGAACCAGCTACAACACGTGCATCTTACAACACTGTTGCTGTCCACAGCAGCATGCGGTGAGGACTGCCCACACAACGATGTACGAGTAACGTCGATCTCCTCACATCTGCCTTCACACATCCTCAGCCACAGTGCACTGTTCACAGTTCACTGCTATGCATCTGCACCGGGTTCTGTAACACGGCATTACGCAGTGCTCCCGCGCAAGGCGCAGTGTTCGCTGCGCGCCGAGACGGCGTGCCGACTCGCCGGCTCTGCGCACAGGGCACCTCACGCTCTGTCGAGAGAGCGCCGCACGCTCTGTCTGGGTCGAGTCCTTCCCGCCGCGCCGCACCGGCCGTTACGGCACGGCGGAGCTCGGAGAGCAGGCTACCGTCACGCGGAGCGGAGGGCGGCCTGCGTCACCTGTCACCCCGCGACCGCGTCGCCGTGCTGCCGGACTGCCGCCGCGGCCAAGGGCTCGTCCTCGCCGGCCCGGCGCCGGTCCCTGATATCGGCCGGCGGAGCGGCCCCTGCGAGCGGCCGTCGGGAGTGTGGGCGCTGAGCGGCGGCTCACCGCAGCAGGGGCCGCCCCGTCAGCAGCAGCAGCACCACCATCACCGCCAGGGGCCAGTCGAACCTCGTGCCGTTCGCCGCGTTGTGCTGCATGGCCGCCGGATGTTCGCCTGAGAAATGCAGGCACGTGCTCACGGCAACGACCAAACTTGGAGTGGGAGAGGGTTGAACCACCGGCATTGGCAAACTCGGTCCGCGCGCACGCCGGGCCGGCATTATAGGCGATTTATGTGCACTGGCGTAGAATCTCCCGGCCGAATCTTCCTTCTTTCTAATGCAATCAGCGGCGGGTGTCAGAAATATGTGCGATCGTTTAAGCCGACAGCGAGGACAAAACGATAGCGGCAATCAGCGGTCATTCATTTGTCCGGAAGCATTTATGAGCTGCCGTTTTGCCCGAATCTGGCAGCGGCGAGAGAAATGGCCGGACGCCGAGGCCTTATTGGAGCAGTGTCGCGGCCGCCCCGACGACTGGCGCCGCCAACACAGTCCCACTCGGCGATTGGTTCATTTCGTACTAATGGATTGGCACTCAGACGGAGCGGGCAGACAAACATACTCGTTTGGGATCGCACCGGGCGATTCTTTTGGGGCAGCCGACGTTCCTGCAGCATAGTGGTGCAATGGAGCACCGCCGACCACGACTTTGAGGCCATGGTGAAATCAGGCACTTTTCTTGAGCTGTAACTTTCTCCAGTATTCAGTGCCAAGGTTTTGCTCACTACGCGGCTAGCCGGGTAATTAAAGAGAATTCGTCTAATCTTTCGGTTTTTCCGGAAGACTGCCCTGCAAGTATTTCAACCAAGCTATTGATACTGGCAGAAATGGAAAGTCCATTCGAGGCTTCTAACAATGATTTTTCAATAAAATTATTTTTTTCTCATCCATGGTATTGATAGCAGTATGCGCCGTGCGGATGAGAACACATGCCTCCTGGGAAAGAATTGCACCAATTAACGAGACGAAAACGGCCAGGACGGGCGGCAGGGATTGGGGCATCCGAGACAAACCAAACCACAAGAAACGTAATGCTTCAATAGCCAGCTAACCATCGGCCATTGCTCCGGTGTCAAGTTTCTTCACGTCGCCGACGGCAAATAACATTACGTAACATCACAGTGACGGGAAAAATAACGACACGGGTTCTCCTTGTTATATGATGCAACTGCGTAAAATTTGCCCTTATTATCAGCAAGAAAGGCCTTGATCTCCGTGTTCAGAGACTCCAAGCACGCTGGAAATCAATCAGTAAAGAAATCTTGAAAGCGCACGGCTCGACATCAGCGTTTTGAGGAAGTGCTAGCGTGTGTGATATTATTTGTTTTGACCTGGGCAGGAATATGCCAGTTGTGAGGCCATATTTAGTAGGTGTAAACTGCAACTGCAGTTGGGTCATTATGAGACGAACTTTTGTGAGAGCAAGATATGCACCAGTGAGAGGCTGATGACGTGGAAATAATGAAGGAATGCAAAGCTTGTCTCATAATTGGACATGTAGCAAATGATATGACAATGTTCACTCGTGCGTGCTTTTTTAGCTATCTCTGCAGAAGAATAAATTAGCACACGCAGCTGAAAAATTTAGTGCTGTAAAGATTATACTCTTGATGGCGAGCTTTAAAGATATCGTAAAAAATCACATTGTTGCCAACACATTGTATGCACAAATGTGTCACTGTTCTGAGGCGTCTGTACATAATGCTGCTTTAAGATTAAACCGTCCATTTTTGGCTTTTGGCCCAGCTTTTGAATCTTAACAAAGTAAAATACTGGCCGTCGCTGGCAGTGAATAATACAAAAATAATACACTACATACATCCAGCATGCGAAGTGTTTACTAGAACTTGCTTACTTCTTGTCACATGAAGCAGATCTATTACATTAAAATCAATAAATCTGATTGTTATTTCAGTGAGCAAGCTTCGATCATCTTATGGATGTCGCAGATTACTGTCACTGGTCTGCAGAATAATGCTATGATTTGCATTAATTTTAAATGTCATTGTTTTAATGTAAGTTGCACATATGCAACAAAATGTGCGTTGATTTCAGCTTGAATGTACGTACATTTAAATCACAATCTCTCTTTGCACTGAGCTTTTTGTGTTTGTGAACCTCTCACATTATGCAGTTGTGGCTAAGACCGGAAGTGAACGACTGCCAGTGAATTGAAGCTGTATATTACCTGACAAACTTTTCAAGGGCATGTTTCCATATGTATGGCTTCTTTTAGTTGTAACCTATGCTGTGAATTAGGGCATCAAAAAATTATCAGCCAAGTTGAATGCATGATACTGAGGTTAGCAGGAAGGATGCCCACAGCCCTTTTCTTATAAACAGAGCTCATAAGCTCGTAACATATTTTGTCCTCCATTTCTGACTTTTGCAAATTGGCACTATGAAATGCATGCATCCCAACTCGAATCACTTTAGCGAAATCATTGAGATTCGAACTAGGGTCTTCTGATTGCGAATCCAATGGTCTATCAACTGATGTTATCGAGAAAGACTGGTAAGCTCTGATGTCTTTCATTAACGCTGCTGTCCTTCCCAGTTAGCTCAGTGGTGGGACGCCAAATTCGCGAATACTGGCTGAAATCAGAATACTGTCCCGAATCCCAGCGAACATCACGCAGAGTTCGGGTTGCGTCGCGTATATGGTTAAAAGCCAAACATCCCCAAGTCCTTCTGATGACTCCATAACATCTGACAACGGTCGGAGAGATAACTGGTCGAAGCGTTGTACGCACACTAACACACCAGACGGGACCGATAGCCCGAACAGCTAATCCATTTGTGATTTTTGTATCTCAGCTCAATCCTTCCTTAAAACTCTGAAGCATTTGACATTTTCAGACCTAAAGCCTCATAAGCTAGATGGACCTCCAAATGATTTTTTGATCATTCAAGGAGGAAATGCCCAAATTAAGTGAGATGTAGTAGGCGTTACCTCGTTTTTCCTTCTCGGAGATCTTTACATAATGACGCAGCCTTAACGCCCACATCTGGACAAGGGCGTCCTTGACTTGAGATGGCGAGAGTATTGTTTGGGAAGACATAAGCAGAGTTTAGGTCTTTGCTTCCGCGAGTGGAACATCAAAACAGCTCAAAGATAGCTTGAGAAGTCCACACCCGACAGTCTCAAGCCAATGTTTATTAGCCATGTATGCGTATTGCTAAGCCTTTATGCCATGGGCCGGGCACCCGACCAAAATATACACCTATTTGATATGCAATTCGAGGTGCAGCAAGAAGTCTCCCGACACAGGCCAATGGTAGTTTACTTGGAGAAGTGAACGTAATTCAAACTAAACCACAAGGTGACTCAATGCAGTACCTGAAACGATGGCACAGGTTTGCATGGCTTTGGGCGATGCGGCCATGAGCTCAGACATTGTGAAGATGCCCGGTAGAATATTGGCGATTGCTCCGTAACGGCCCGCACCAACACTGTCCCCCTGACCGTCCCACTGACCGACATCGCCCGAGGCAACGATCCGTAAACCCCTCTGCCATCTCCCTGCGATGCATCTTATTCGGATTAGCGCGTCGATGGGTGATGATGCGTTACACGGAAGCCGCGGTGGGCAAATACGAGCGACCAGCACGCGTCCATCGACGTGACAGGAGCGTGGCCACATCAGCCAACACCCGGCTCAGTAAAGCAGCCGAGAGTCAACTAACGCGCCGCTCAACGAAACGTGGATAGGTGGCAAAGCACCCGGCGGGAAATATTTTGATATGTCGATGGTTAAGCGTGCCGTAAAAAATATCTGAGCCAATAGAGGATCGGAAGGCAAGGCAGAGTGAAGGCGAGTGGGCATATGGATTTATGGGAATCCTTTAACATGTATTTTAGCGTTCTCGTAATTAGCCCCACGACTGATGCACAGAGGTTAATTAAAATCCAAGCCTATGCCAGCAGAGTTTGATTAAGCATGTCACGGCGTGTTTAAACCCTGAATCCAGGAAATCATGTACACATCGGTATAGGATCTGATGTTTCGATGAAAAAGCACATGACGATGTGATCGCCTGAAACCAGCCGTAAAAAACCGATCGTAAGCGACCGGCGAGACAAAGCGTAAACTTGAACCAACTTGGGTACAAATGCATAGGTTCAGTGAATCTGATTCATGGACGCAGTCTATGATTTCACCTTGCGGTCTGTGCAACATTACGCCAGAATCACGCGAACCTTTCGATAAGCGGGCAGGTGTTCTCGGCGACGCCACCATTTTGTCACTACAATGACAAGGATTGTTTGAACAATATCCCTGAAATCTATCATCGAATCGTGGAGCACGGTGCTTTTGGATCAGGACATTTTAAAACCAGCTCGGGGCTTGTAACGCGTATAAGACGAGCTTGTTGTGTCCTCCACACAAACTGACTCAACTACTGCGTGATAACTATGACGATGACTGCAGGCTCTGAGCCCGCTGGCACTGACTGCACGTCTCTCGCGGCCCCAGAACAGCCCAATCACCAAAAGGAGAAAGCTTGGAGCGTAGGAAGGTTCAATAGTCATACTGCCTTGCTGGGAGATACTGCCAGTGTGTGCAATTCATTTTTGTCTTTATTAAAGCGAGAGCTGTTTTCACGAAACGATCGGCTTTTGTGACAGTGCGACATTGATTGTCACATAATTTGTGTGGCGAAATCGCTAGTACGGGTTTTCTTCGAGAGGATGGTAAGCAATGGCGCAGTCGGGATGGGTGGAATCATCGAGCTTTATCCACCCCTCCCCCCGACGTCTAGTTCGAGCGGAGTTTGTAACCACGAAACGCTACTGAACATAATTCTAGCATCTATACGTCAGGCAAGCTTTTTTGTTTTAAATCTCTTAGATACTACCATGGGAAGCAACATGTACAACCCAACAGCCGTAAATTAGTAACAAGACAAGCAGATAATCGAAAGAGCATGTACGGTAGGCAGCTAAAACAATTGGTTAAGACGCGAGGGCAAACCAAGCAATCAATTTTGATAACTCACTGACATGCTAGATACTGCATTGATTAAATAGGTAGACAGGGGATAAACACACGCACGTTTTCGTCATAAGCTTTGACTTATCGACAATTAAATGTTTCTAGGTTATGAAGCTGTCAAGTCAGCTAGTCTTGTGTTTAAATGTAGCGGACATTACGCAGTTGGGGCTGAATGTGAAAATTATTTCGTTTCTTGAGCGACTTCCGCGCCCATTTCCGTTCCTTCATATCAAGCACGATGTCTTCTCAGGAGCAACTTAACAGTTCAACGAAATCAGGTCTTAACACCTCAAAACGTTCATAAGCTTCCTCCGAGTAATCTAGACTTTCAAGGACTGCAATGCGTTAGGGGTTCCGCAAAAGCGGCCAGAAGCGGTTAGACGGAAATATAAAATGAGTTTACCGTTGCTCTCAGGGGAGGAGCCGAAATGAAATTAGAGGCCACCTCCAGATACAAAAACAAATATGCCCTTATCTACCGTACTGTTCCAGTCGGTGCCAGTGCGTGATATGGCTTGCCTTTGCTTAGTCCAAGGTTTCAACCTAGCATACTGAGCTAAATTTAGTTATACTAGTGAGCGTACTGTCACGGTTACAGGCCAAGTGGATAGCTCGATGCAAACATATGGCAGCTGCAAACGAATGCTACCGACCAGCGAGACTGACCGCGATCATTTCTGACCTTCCGGCAGCGAGCTCATACGGTTTCCCTGCCTGCAGTGTTTGGAAATGGGCCGACATGCGCTGCGTTACGCTGGCGTTGCGCCCGTGGCCGCCGCACCGCTGATGACGTACCATTGATGACGTGCAGGACCGCCCAGACGGGGACGGTGCCGGCCGGGTCGCACGTGTAGTTCCCCGAGTCCGACGACGCCACGCCGGTGATGTGGAGCCTGCAGCGGAGGAGGCCGTGTCAGCCCTGCCGGCCATAAGCTCGCCACGGTTGTTTTCCGCCATCGGCTTCACCGCGAGGCGCGCCGTCACTACACCGCCCCGACAGAAGGCATTGACGCTGTTTAAACCCACTCGTCCGTCCTGGATGAGGTGTCGGCGGCGTGATGCGGGGGGAGTGTTCCAAGTTTGGGACGGGGCCCGGGACCGTGCAAAAGCTGCTGTATAGAGACGACGCGTGATGACGGCCATCTTGGAGCTGGCGTCCACCCGTGCCCAGTCGTGTCACGTGTGTCCTGCCGTGTCTAGCCGTGTCACACGTATCCAGCTGTGTCTAGCCTTGTAACACGTGTCCAGCCGTGTCCAACCGTGTCACACGTGTCCAGCCGTGCCTAGCCGTGTCACACGTGTCCAGCCGTGTCCAGCCGTGTCACACGCGCCCAGCCATGAGCAGCGCCCATCTGGCGTGTCATGAGAGTCGTCGTTCGTGGTGTCAAACTGGAATGTCGGCTGTGCTATTTCCATCGCGGTGACCTGGGATATCCATTGGTAACACCACGAGGCTGATCCCGCCGTCACCCAACACGCTGAGCCCTGTGGCCACGCAGTTCGCTTTCCCGTGACATACCCTCCTCACACATCCATACACGGCCGGCAACACTGAAGTACTACATGTGATGGACACGTATGTAAATATGGGTTTTGACGTCTGGCCAGTGATATGGGGACAAGCTCCAAAAGAACAAGGAGAAGACGATTCGCACTACATCTTAAGTAACTGGATAATGCGGCCATTTAATCTGATTGAGTCAATGGGTCCATTGCTATCCTTTTTCACTCATACGACCAAATACGGACCCTAAAATCCAAGCATGCCGTACGTATTCTGGTCTGAGAGAAGACACATTCTGAAAAATATCGGAAGGCAATGGTCTAGAACATCCCAATAAATACTCCCAAACACTAGTTTAATGTGAAAGCGATCAGAATCGCCATCGACGGCTAACAACTACAGGAAGACAACATGGGCTACAGCCGTCATAATTATCGCCGAATGTTGTGGTTTATGAAGCGAAATGATTCGCAAGAAGAGCTTAACGGCACGCCGTCCTTGAAAATCCCACCCTGACTGTTATAACTTGGCATATGGCAAAGTGGCATCACTGCGCCGATGAATAGCGGCAAAACACACTCCACTGCCCACACACACTGTCAGTGCGATGCATTTGTCGCGTATTTAAAACCAAGTTGATATGCCCAAGACTGCCCGCCCGTGGAGCCCATCACTCGCTCAGCGTCGGGCATCACGCACGCGGCGCACCCCGTTATCGGTCCCGATCGGCCTGCGCCGGCGTCCATCTGTCTCCACCCGTCGCCCCTCATCTCGGCCCGGCCGCCGTCTTAATGCAGTTCTGCTGTCGCCAGCCGCGCCGTCCCCGGCCAGCCAGGTTTGCCTGGAACACGCACACGCCGACCGCCGCAGGCATTGACCCGACTGCTCCGCCGCGCCGGGGCCCAGCCGCCACCCGACGGCTCCGCCGCGCCGGGGCCCAACCGCCGCCCGACGGCTCCGCCGCGCCAGGGCCCAGCCGCCGCCCGACGGCTCCGCCGCGCCAGGGCCCAGCCGCCGCCCGACGGCTCCGCCGGGCCCCACCGACGCCGTCGCTCCGTGAACAGCCACTTGACAGCGCACCAGAAAATACAGGGTGCTCTCTTTCGCTTGCTTTTTCTGTTCCTGCTTTGAAACCAAAAAGGTTGTGTCCATTGGGGTTAGTACCAGGCGAGCAACGGAAGCGTGGAACGGGAGCCACCGAACGAGAGGAGGTTCCAGTATAACCCGGGTTGCGGAAGTGAAGCTCCGTAAAAAGTATTGAGAAGGGGGTTTTACCCAATTTTTTTTAAGATGGCAGATCGAGTCCGCAAGAAATAAAGAGGGTCCAGTTAAAATGTCTCTCCCAGCTGTGTCCCTTTTCTAATGTCTTCAGCAAAATGCAACGGGGTCGACGTGTTATCGAGTCACTAATAGGGGTGGGGGTGGGGGTGGGGGTTGCATGGCACCCTCGTGGAGATACGAAGTTTTGCACATGCTGAGTTAGTTGAACACCTGGTGGTCTGCTGCGGGAACACCACGGCAATTGCACCTACTGGTCTGCTGCGGGAACACCATCGCAATAACACCTGCTGGTCTGGTGCGGGAACACCACCGCAATAACACCTGCTGGTCTGGTGCGGGAACACCACTGCAATAGCACCTGCTGGCCTGCGGCGGGAGTGCCACCGCGATAATGAAGTCCGGTATTCGAGCTCCCCAACCGCCGAAGCAAGCGACATACACGACGCATTATCAAGCAGCGGAACAACGCTGTGTCCGACGACGTGGACACAGTGTTGTGTGCCGACGGCGAAAACAAGCACTACCAGACGACGTTGACAACACCTTATCAGACAATGCAGATACAGACAATGTAGACAACGCAGACAATGCAGACAACGCAGGAGTGCACCACGGGTAACGCACGATAGAACAGGGATTACAGTTCACAAACATATCGGGAATACGCTCAAGACTTCCAACAGGCTGTACACAGCACATCACCAGGTCCTCGGAAACTGTGTTACCTGAGACTTACCACTGTTTGCAACGGCCGGGTACGGAGCATCTGACTGGAACATCATAGTAAAATCGCGGACTTTTCATAGCGTGGTCTCTTGACTTATTGGGGCATGGAACTTGCCTGTGGCGCGATGATCAGAGAAACAAATCGCATACATTTGTTGGCGCACGCTTGTGCACGCACCACTGGGTTTTAAATAGGTCAAAGTTGAAGACAGTCAAACAGCCTTGCTCCTTGCCGACCCTGGGCAGCCCGCCGTCCCGCCCTCCTAACGAAGAATGCTTCCATTTGGGCGACAGCGCCGCAACAATGCTAATGTTCAGCCTCTGGCGAGCGTTAAGCCGCACCTGTATGGTTTACCTTCCGCAACTGCTAGCGTACGCCAGCTACGTCTGGGGAAGCAATAAATCAGCTTTGAAATGTGTCGCTACGCACAGCGAACGGCTCAAAGGCCGCTGTGAAAGCCGCAGACCAGACCGTAGCCTCCTGAAACAGGCAAACCCGTCAACGCTCTAAATCCGAAAAAGACGGCAGGGCGGGAACACCCACCTCTGTGCAGATACGGTCAACTACACGTCGAGAGAGAGAGAGGGAGAGAGAGAGAGAGAGAGAGAGAGAGAGAGAGAGAGAGAGAGAGAGAGAGAGAGAGAGAGAGAGAGAGAGAGGAGAGAGAGAGAGAGAGAGAGAGAGAGAGAGAGGGAGAGAGAGAGAGAGAGAGAGAGAGATAGAGAGAGAGAGAGAGAGAGAGAGAGAGAGATAGAGAGAGGAGAGAGAGAGAGAGAGAAGTTTCGAGCTTCGGCTGGAAAAAAAAAGGGGAATAGCATCCTTCATCGGAGGGCGGGTGTACTTCCGTGGGGCAGAGATCAGTGGTCTGCTTCCCTCCCACTCCCCACCCCGCCCGCAACAACCGCCCCCTCCCCGACCCGGCTTCCGCGGTCGGCGTCGATACGACTGAACCGCCGACGCGACGAGGTGACGCGGCATGCCAAGCGGCTCCGCCGCGGGCGACGTCGCAAGACGTGGCCGTTTTCCCCGGCCGCATCGAAGACGACGGTGGAGCTGCAGACTGCCTATGGCCCCGCTCGAGCCTCTTTGCAGGCCGATCGCCGAGTTCGTCGGGAGTTTCCCGGGAGTTCCACAAATCACTGCCGGCCACTGCGGGGGACGACCGCCGCCCGGTTCTGTGAGGCTCAGTGCGGTGCGCCCGCCAGCTGGCCCTCGGCGGCCCGTGTGTGGGCCGGTGCTGGGCAAGGGGACGGGAGGCGCCCGCAGCCTGTAATGGTGGGTTAATTACCCACGGCCGGGCCCCAAGGCCAGTCGACTTGATTGCCACTCCGGCCCGCGCACGCCACCGAATGCGACGCGGTGCGCGGCACCTCGACGGCGGCAGGAGGCCGGGCTCTCTGAGAGCGGCCGGCCGCCGCCCGGCCTTCCAATGAGACTGTCGTCGCACTGCGACCGACCGGCCTGCGGCAAAAACTTACCAGGCCGCCGCACAGTCGGCCGGGGCTCGACCATCTGGCCTAGCAGCGGCGATCAACACCGGCGGCGCTGACAAAATAGCGGCTGGCACCGAAAACAGGCCGCCTAACGCCTTATCGGCTGTCAGTCTTCCAGCCAGAACCGAACGGCCGTCGCTTGGTCTGTTGCTCGAAAACTCGCCCCCGACTGCATCGCGGCGACGGCAGAGAGGCCCGAAAGACTGGCGCCAGCCGATGCGAGCGGCCCCGGGGGCTCACTGACCTGCTGAAGGTATGCCTCGACCTGCTGAAAGTGTGGCTCGACTCGCGGGTGCTCACTGACCTGCTGAAGATATGGCTTGACTTGAGGGTGCTCACTGACCTGCTGAAGGTGTGGCTCGACTCAAGGTGCAGTCGCTCCTGACCCCGATAGTTGATGACGCGGCCGTTGTGGTACCAATAGATGGAGCTGGTGTCGTGGCTGACATGGCAGGTCAGGTTAACGTCACTGCCAGAGTTGACGTGCTGCTCCCGGTTGCCCAGGATCCGCGCCCTGGGAACTGACGTCAAACGCGTGCGCGTCAGCTGGCGGCTATCCTGTGCTAAAGCCTGCCACAGGGTACGTATGGATTGCCTGAGGCCCTGTTCCGTGCACGACCCACAGCGCTCCCACGTCGCCAACTCCGACGGCGAAGTGCTTTCGGGACGCCATAACAGTACGCTGTTGACACCACGACAAAATAAACACTCCGTGATGATAAGGCACCCGCTCCTCCACTGCCGTTGCTGCCCCGTTCTGCCATGCCTGCAGCCGACGGTGAGTCGGTGGTCGTCTGTGCGCGGCGGGGCGCCGTCCGGGCCCAAACCGGGCCCACGGCCTGGAACCAGCCAACCAGAAAACCCATACCGATCAGCGGCAAGGCGTGAGCAGGTGCCCCCCCCCCCCTCCCCTTCCCCCGCTCCCGACCCCGCCTTGCCGCCGCCACCGGTTGAGTTAATTAGGAGTCGGAAACTGATTAGGCTCGGGCACGAGATCCTATGCATCCGTTCCGAGTCTGACATGAGGCAGACCTGATCCGGAGTCGGATACGGCTTTCCTGGAGTAGGAACTTCCCTCAGCACCCAGGTGTGCAATTAATTGGTATGACAAGTCTTCAGCCAACCAGGAAGCTGGCTGAGTGATGGCGACATTTTGCCAATTCACTCGCACGCGGACTGTCCTGCTATTGAACAGTTGGAGAGCCGAACGTTCGGTGCTCGCAAATGAGGAGCCATTCTTCACAGCGATGACATTTCTAGAGTTTGGTCGTTGATGAACGCGGACGTCCGCTGCCAATGCGTCTGTCACCATAAGCGGGGCCCGGCAGACGGGCAACTCCCTCAACGGGCGACACTGCAGGTGAAAGAGAACCGTCGCACACGGCAGGCCGCCCTGACGGCGCAAAGATGTCATATTCACGCGAAACACGGCGACACGAATCCGATGCGGATCTTGCATTTAAAAAAAGTCGGCACTGCCAGTTATGAAATGTTTTCCCCACATTAGTTCGCTGGTAAATCGTCGACAGACTCAGCGTCATCCGGTAATAAATCGTCGACAGACTCAGCGTCATCCGCTGATAAATCGTCGACAGATTCAGCGGCTTCCGCTGATAAATCATCGACAGACTCAGCGTCATCCGCTGATAAATTGTCGACAGACTCATCGTCATCCGCTGACAAATCATCGACGGACTCAGTATCCACAGCGTCCACAGCGTATGCGATGGCAGACCGAGTCAGTTCCAATTAAATAGACAATATGCTGGTTCACTGAAGTGGTCTTGGTCGGGAGCACGAAGTATGGGTACAATTATACTTAGAACCGGCCACCTAACATCTTATTTGAATTTTGAGTACACTGGCCCTGAAGGCGGGTCAGGCTGCGTCCAGTGATCTTTAGCGTGAGATTATCCTCAGGACGAAGCCAGCTGTTTTGGTTTTGCAAGTTGATCGTGGGGTAAAGCATCGAAATTATTTGTAGGTTTAGAGGTAACGTGAGCTCCCTCTCAAACCTATCATATCTGTCATACAGTGCTGATGCACTGCATACCTTGTTGAAAGATACACTGTGATACATTTTGCACATTTTTATGCATATACTGTCATATATTGCACGCAAATATCTCGTATTTGCAGGCTTTATCATTGAGATGGCTTTGTCGTTAAGACGCAAAAATCATTTAACCTTCGCCCTGACTTGATATTTTTCATAACGCGGAGCGACGGGGGTGGGGGATGTGACCCCCAAAAAAGAAAGGACTTCACAGAGAACATCAATGGATTGGGCTCAGTTTGAGCTCGTAATTGGAAATGACCTTTATGTGGCTTGATCAATAACTGACCCCATTATAACAGGTCAAAGGTTAGAGGCTTTCCAAAAACCGATCTCTTTTAGCTTTACATACTTGTATGCACGACGCCATGCCCGGCAGTGGCACACAAATAAAAATGAAGTGCTGTTTTTTGGGGGGTGAGATCAAGAAGAACACGACTTCTGAAGTAAAGCGGCAACACACGTCTTCTGGATGGTGAAGCGACCGTAACACCGTCACCCCAAACGCCACCACTGACCCCACTGGCCGCGCCCTGGTCTTGGCGTCAGGCTCGACCCTAACAGCGGGTCATCGTCTGGCGGCCGTTCTGTCGGGTGCAGCTTCCGTCAGATCGCGCGGGAGGGAAGAAGGCGCCGGGTCACTGGCAATGCCGACGAGCGGCCCGCCAACAGCAGCCTTTCCCGTCCTGGCATCCCAGCGGGAAATCAGGGAGGCAATGGTGCGCCTCCCACTGGGAGCGGCTGGCCGACCGCCGGTCCGGGTCGGAGGCCGCCAGGAGTGGCCAGTTCTGGTCACGCCCGTATGACGGCCGACTCACGCAGGCTGGCACACATGCGGTTTCTGGAAGACGGCCAAATCAGCGCTGCTGAGATTTACTACTACAAAATAGCAGCAGGGTAGCCTGAGTAACAAATCAGTATTTTACGTCCATGCATTAGGCAACGAGCCTTGAGCGGAAGAAGCCTAAAAGTACTAAATACATGATGGCCTGGTGAGGACCTTGCGTGGAGGGAACATCCACATGGTAGGCACGGATTCGAATCCCGTTAGAGCGATGGCTTCTGGGTGCTAATGTAACCACCGCGGTCTCGGGTGTTCCATAAAAGGGGTTTGTGACATGTGTCACGTTCTCGTTTGCCGAAACGGCTGAAGTGTATGAACGTAGCTCAGAAATCGGACAGCAGCAGGTTTAAATGGTTTTAACGGTGCCGTGGACAACATCGTTTTTCATTTGGATGCCTAGAGTCTTGCGACACATGGTGCTGATTCATGGGAACTTAAAAAAGTGGGGAAGTGCATGTCATTCACGAAAAACTCCATTCGTTTAGCTTGTATGATTGTTTATTGGTTAAATTGGGTGTGTTTAACGCTTCAGTTTCCAAAAAGACACTCCTGGGGGTATTTTGACCAAGCTTTATATTGGCAGCAATGACAAATCTACGTGGGACTTTTAAAAACGATTATCAAAAAAACCTTGTCAACTATTGCTGCATGCGTGGCAGAGGTGCAAACACACTGTTAGGAAAAAATTGCACCAATCAGCGGGACGGAGCGACAGGACGTGTGATAATGAATGGCGCATCCAACACAAACTAAAACTACACAGAACACCATGCTTTCATGGCCTGCTAACGATAGGCCATTGCTTTGGGGGCAAGTTTCTTCACTTAACAGGCGACAAATAACGTCAAATAACTTCAGTGACTGGATGAATAACAACGCGCATTTCTCCTACCATAGAAAAGACGCGACTGCGTGATTTTAACCTCGCTATGAGCAAGGAAGGCCTTGGGCTCCGTGGTCGAAAACTCGAAGCACGCTGAGAGGCAATCAGTACAGAAATCTTAAAAATACGTTCCGACATCACTGTGGTCTGGCAAGTGCTAGGGTGCATTATGTCAGTTATTTTTACTTGGACGATTGTCTTGGAACCCTTTTACTTAGAATTCTCAGACCATATTCAGTGCCAGTAGTTTAAACTGCAGCTGCAATTGGGGCGTTAGAAGATGAGCCTCATTCAGAACAACATATGTACCAGTTAGAGGCTGACGACATGAGAAGGCGATGTCTGTTTAATGACTGGAAATGTCTGAACTAATAAAATACCAATACTTACTTGTTTTGTTTCGCGTTTATAGCTACAGGGCAAGAACTAAGAACGTCCAACTGAGGCAACTAAATACTGAAAAAAATGCGCTCCACGTGTCATGTTTCAAAACATCCCAAGTTCAAGTTGCTGCCACCACATTATATGCATGAATGTGTCACTGCTTTTAACTGACAACATATAGCTCTGCTCCGGATGAAAGCCACCTATTTTTAATTAGGTCGCTTTGTGAGCCTTTACAGAATCAAATATCAAGTGTCGGCTACCGCTGGCATCACATGGTAATCAAAGAGCTTACCGCATGCTTGCAGTTAACAGCGCGTCTCCTACAAATTGTTCTATTCTTGTCATATGCATTATGTACATATTTCATTTGCATATATCCTTGATTTTATATTTTTGGGCAACCTTTCTATCATCCTATGATTGTTGCAAATTGCTGTCACACGTCTCCCGTAAATAGTTTAAAAAAAAAAAATGATTATCTGTATTGATGTGGAACGTTATTGAGGTGAAAGCTGCACATTCACATCACAATGTGCCTGTTCTTCAGCTTGAATGCACATATACTTACGGCTGCATGACCATCCGCCGTCGGCGCGCCCTAAAACTCCTGCATAAACTTATACAATCATGTTTCTTTGCACTCAACTCTAGACAGCTTGTGAACCTTCCACATTATACAATAATAGCTACGACTAGCTGTGAATGATACCAGTGAAGTGAACTGTACGTTAACCTTGCAAGCTTTACAAGAGCACGCTGGCTGGCAAACTTTACACGGGCATGCTGGCATGCTGGGCGTATGGCTGACTTCTGTAAATTGTATTGTATTTTGCAACTTTAGGTTAAGGAGGTGAAGTGTGCTCCTGGAAACATATGAAAAAATGCAAATTTTTTACACGACTGACAAATTTAAAATGCGACTAAATTGGAGCCTCGCTATACAAAACTTGCAACAGAAAACAACGCAACGGTCTGACATAAACAGCACATATCGTTATTCTGACAACCATTTATGGATGTGGGCCTTCCAAAACACACACCTTGAAACTTGTCCAGACATTGGCTACGACTGGCATATCAATTATCAGTAATATTGTAATCACGGCGTAGAGGTCAGCGGGAGTGATACAATATTTGTATCACCCACTGAAACTAGAAGCATATTTTGCGTTCCATTTCTGCCTTGTTTCCTTACCGTTGCAGGGGAAAAGCTAAGAATGCACGGCTCATAATTAAATGCGGCATGAGTGATGCTAGAGTTTAGAACAACAGCCCATGACCATTGCCTTTCAAGACCAGGTGGAAACATCGGTCATGATACAGGAAAGCACACCGATGGGGCGCTACCGTC